TCAGTCGATTACACTTCGGTCGCACACTAAAAACATCTACGCTTACACACTGAGCTAGTAGAATTTCGGGGCAACAGACTGTCCACGTAGTGTATATTCGTCTTCGGTGAAATGTATATTTTACAATACTAACGACGCCGTTTCGGTGCTAAGATACTTTCGAATTATTTCAGTTTCACTCGTGGACCGACGCGTGCCGCGGAAAATCTACTGTTTTGTTCGCACTTACGAAGATGAACGACAACGCGAGAGCATAGCGACGGTTAGTTTCGGGCGTTGATCGTGTCACTTTCCGATCGTCGAGTTGCGAATCGTTAACGGCGCTATCTAACAACATAAATATTCGTTCGTGGAGTCGCATGAATAATAACACCAGCCCCCACCACGCGCTTCTGTTGCGTTGTCCTTGGGCAGGAGGTGCACGCACATGCTGCGACTTCCCCACTTCCAACACAAAGTCACTATGGCAACGTGTGTCGCCAAGAACCGATGAGTTGGGACTTAGGGATTGCCGAAAGTGGGGACAATTATGCGCGCGCACCTCCTGCCCGAGGATGACAGCACAACAGGAGCGAGTGGTGGGGGCTGGTGTTATTATTTTTGTGGCTCCACGGGCGAATTTTTGACCAGGCCTGACGTAGTACATACAGGGTGTAACAAAAATGTTGTCTGACACGGAAATGGGGCACTCGGGGGGTGAATTGGAACAAGTTTTTCCTCAGCAACAATGTAATCTGAGCCTTCGTTACCGAGATATGAACGAAAAACCCCGACCAATCAGAGCGCGAGTTTGCCAGCCGAGTTCCCGCGCTAGCGGTGGCTACGCGCTACGATTTGTAACTCGCGCTCTGATTGGTCGAGGTTTTTCGTTAATATCTCGGTAACGAAGCCTCGGATTACATTGTTGCTGAGGAAAAACTTGTTCCAATTCACCCCCCGAGTGCCGCATTTCCGGGTCGGACAACATTTTTGTTATATCCTGTATGTACTATGTCAGGCCTTACAAAATCCAATCAGTGTAAGTCACAAAGTAAGTTAACAGAGATAATTGTTTAAAAAATAGACTGCAAAAAGTAATATATGCAGTTAACAAATAAAAAATTATTCATATATATAGAATACATACATATGAAACTGGTTGCGGATAAAATAAACAATGAAAGTGTATTTACACGGCATAAGTCATTTTTAATGACAGAGTGACTTACAGCGATTAACTTCTGAACCCTCCATATAGAGACTTGTCTTAAATCCATTCAATAGTTCGAAGGTACCGATTGTTTCTTGCTGAATTCTTGCCGAACTGTTTCAAAGTTTTACAAAGTTTTTGCATCCTTGATTTGCTCTCCTCTAAAGTTTGAAAAGTGTGATTTAATATCGGGATCCAGATATACTTATCCGAATGAAACCGACAAATATTAATGAATGATAAATCGTAAGTAACATGACACCACGTTTTCCAATAATCACATAGTACTCTGTTCTTGTAGATCCTCATCTGTCAATTATTACGTACCGTGATCTAATCTTACTTCAAGATAATTGAAAGTATCAAGACAACAACTTGATTAAACAAAAAAAAAATGAAATTTGTCAATATTCTTATCGATTAACCATATAGTATATCCGATAGCGCGTCGATCGATCCATCGTTCAGAGTTAATTCTCGGGATCAAGATATCGATAAACAACTCGTGATCGTTGGCGGTCGATTTAAATAAAAAAAAGACTCCGACGCACGCCGTGTGACCGATCATCGTCCACCGAATTCGACACTTCATTATTATTATGTTTTTTTTTGTTTTATTTACAAACGTTCACGCTTACAACGACACGTGTTATTCTATTTGTATTTTTTGTTTTGTTAGTTGTTTTACAGCTACACACACGGTTTTGCATATCGATTTACTTATTTACCTCGGTAGTATTTCCCCCTTATAATCCTCACGACTCCTGCTGCCGGTCACATTTGTACCCCTCGATTCTACGGTTCTGTAAAAATATTACAAATAGCCTTCTTTTTCTCTGTCTCCTCCTAACCGAGTCGTCGATCCGATCCAATGTCGGCTGCGGATCGAGGCACAAACGATCTGCACAAACATACGCACACATACACACACACACACATACAAACACACACCCGCGGAGCTGGTTGTGTCGAGGCGTCGATTACAAGCGATAGTGTTGTTTCTCAGTGCTTTGTTTCTTCGAGAAAATGAAAAACAAACAACAGATCTCTCTACTTTCGTCCAGCCGGTTGCCTGAACAATAAGACACTTAACAGTTGGACGATCCCCCGGCGCCGGGGAATCGATGAATGACTCTTATTTATTTGCAGTTTATTTCTTTTTTTTTTCCTGTTCTTTTCTATTTTCCTCGTTTACCGGTTTCACGTTAATTCTCCCGTGGCTCGTTTCTGTCGCAGTTCTGAGCGACCGAAAACAACACGACGATAATGGAATCCAGAAAGGATTATAATGATCGTGTAAAAAATATCTCATTTTTAGGTATCTCTCTTTTTCTTTGTTCGTCCTCGTTGGAACTTCGGAGGAAGAGTCGTTAAACGCGGCGAGAGCAGAGTTGATTAGAGGGAAAGACAAGGTGGACGAAAAATCAGCCTCTTCAGTGTTTACATCTTGAAATCACGTGGTGTTTTCGTTTTTCCTCGTACTTGTTTTTGTTTTTTCTTTTTTCTGTTTTTTTTTGACGGAAATACAGTGAATGAGGGAGCCAGGCCAGTCTGGAATCGTCGAGCGGACACCAAATTGTCGCGAAAGTTTCCCCCGATGGAAATGATATATTAATTTTTCGCGGGTGGATCCTTTTTTCACGATCGAGTCGTAATGATACACGTGATCTTCTGAAATGGAACGGTGCACCTGCGTAACACGTGCCGAATGGAGAACACCATCTCGAAACGAAACTCTGTCGTCACCGTTCACGTCGACCTCTCTGTCGATCGTTGGAAAAAAAAGAACAAGGAGTCGTCTCGTATTCCATTCGTTTCTACACAAGTACATACAGTACCAGATAAATGTTTTCAGACAAAAACTGTTTCCTGTTGTATTTGAATTAAGGATACTATTGACGTTGCATTAAATAATCAACGTCTGTCTTGTGTAATTGTTGTTTTCTTAGGTCTCCCATATTTGATATATTTTCTAAATATCCTCCTCGAACAAATTGTTTATTTTGTTGAATATACCGTCTATTTGGGGACGTCCGCACATCGTGAAACTATGATTCCGCTCCATTGATGTTTTGTGTTAAAATTTTATGTTCTCTTTTAAATTAATAAAAAATTATAATGTTCTCTTTAAGTTCTTGTTTCAGTTTACAATTTATGGTTGTGAATGAAACGTCCGAATACTTTTATCTAGCTATGTACAGACAAAACCTATTTTATATTTTGTGATACGTAGCTCCGTGTAACTTTTATGAAAGCTTGCGTCGGAATAATCGTAAACACTCCGCAGGGCAGAACTTCAGTAACGTCACCATAACAACAAGTACAACGAAAAATGTCTTTGTCTGAATTCATTTGTCCGGTATTGTATATTTATATTATATATAACTTCTTTTTTTTTTCCTTTGTTCGCTCCTCCCCTTAGTGTTTGTTTCTTCATCGTCCACTTAAATTTCACATTCAACATCAACATCGTTTATTACTATATTATTATTATTTCTTACTTCTTATCGTTTATTAGTTATTTATTGTTATCATTACCGTCGCCCCCTCCCCCCATTCCCCTTACCTGTGTACGTATATACGTGTAGTTAAATTCATTCAAGCTTACCAAGTAAGTTACTCGTTACGTGTAATTTTATTAAATAGCGTTTTTCCTTTCTTCGTTCTATGTTTTTTCTTTTTTCGCCCCCTTAAATCCTGTTGTTTTCTTTTTTTATGATACAGATTGTCATGTTCGGAATTCCGTTGCCGGAAACTTTTCGTTCACGGCGATTCGCGGTTTCGGCGCAGAAACAAGATGGCCGCCAGACGCGAGCGCCCCCACGCGGATAATTGTACCGGGAGGGGGGGCTAGACTACTTTCAGCGTCGCCCGCGCAATAAAATTTCTCTAATTGTATTTCCTCTCGTCTAATCGACTACTAACGTCTCGAAGGTCTCTCAATTCTTCGAGGAATTCGTTCGCGGAAGGAATTCCACTCCCAGTTTAATTTCTAGAACGATATGAAATTTGTGCATTTCTTTTCCCGTCGGGGTCCCCTCCTCATCCAGGATTTCGATCTTCCCATCGAGTTCCATCGAGATCGACGAGGTTTTCCAAACCGTCGAACGTTAAAACTCTCCTTTCATCATTCTCCAAAGGGAATATTCGCTTTCTCAGTTGGCTTTAGTTTCTCTTAAACGAAAGATCGAGACTTCCAGGAGACCCAGAACGATTTTCTATTATCAACTAGACATTTTTTTGTCGCGCGCAGATAAAAGCTGATCACAATGACACTCGAGGAACATCGAAGCCTCGGTCGAGCCACCGTCAGCGATCAAATCTACGTTGTCGGGCTTCGTTAATCCCGTTCGGTTCTTCTGTTTTCCACGAACAACGCCTCGATAGCGCTCGTCTGTTTAACCGACACGCGTCTTCTCGTGGCGTGTTCCCGTTGACGAGGATCATGCGACGTAAGGTCTTCTCGACACGGAAAAATGGACGAGGTACGAATTTCCGAGGCGATCAATCATTGTTCTCGACGCGTTTCCCGAGATAATTACCTCTTTTCGTGCGTCGAAGTTTCCCCCTCGGGTTTAATCGAAAAAAAAAAAAAAGAAATAGTCCTGACCAGGACCGAGGAGTTGTTCACGTGGCGTGTACGACGATGAACTCGTGACTGAAATATCAGTGTTCTTTTTTTCTTTTTCTTTTTGGGGTATCACCCTTCTGCCACAGGTGAACTCACGATTCGAGTCTCTGCTTCTCAGGTACACGTCAATTCCTCCCATTTTTACGCAGGGATGAAAGGATTATTATGCACGAGTGTCGTTTACATTCCGCAATCGAAACTATCTTGATTCTGTATGTTCTTCTCGTACGTTTCTAAATAAGTGTCCACGTTTTTGTACATTCCGGTATTCGCCTGGTACATCAGCGTCTCGAGAATCCTCTCGTTCTTGATCGCGTGCGATGGTAAAACGATCTGAAAAATATTCAACACGTTAATAATGACATTGTTTTTTGTTGTAAGGTTAGTGTAAGACATGGAGGAGTGAAATTGTTGCTTTGTAGTTTTTTTTTTGTGAAATCAACATATTCAATCGCAATATTATTTAAAACACTCCACACTTTTGTCATATTCTATCCTATTTAAAGTAATTCTTTAACCTTCTTTGAGGCAGTGGCAACCATGTTGCCAGCAACTTTTTATTTCTGTCAATTTGAGTTTCACATTTGCTCGAGAAATAAATTATTTTAGGAAAGTGAGATAAATCTAACTCGGACTTATAAAAGGTTAAAAGAATCGATTACTACACGAAGGCTATTCAGACACGTTAGTTTTACTAGAGCCTTCTTTTGGTTCAGATTTTAAAATAGCAACCCTAATTGCAAATTCAGCGCAATATTTCTTTAATTCTCCTAAAACCTTATCAAAGTCCTTGGAAAAGTTATTGTATAATATGGCACAGCAGGATCTTTCATTCACCTTCTAACTTTTACAATTACTGAAGACTTTAGGTTCGTTTACTTTCTGAAGACTATAGGAGACACTAGAAATTTACCAACAATACTTGAAAGACAGAATGGTCCATGTTGATACGAACCATAATCCTTTATACTGGATTGAGGATAAATCTTAAACCTTTCTTACATGTATCTCTTACATTCTTCTCTCTTCCATGTATTCTCACATAAAAGAATTCTGTACGGATGGAATAATGGTACTACCCAATAGATGCCAGAAGATTATCGAAAAGAATAGTGCATATTTACTTTAATTGTATTGTTGCAAGGTACTGGACTAAAGTTTATATCTAGAAAAGGTTCAAGACTTATCCAACAACCCAATACATCGTACATCTAACAGATTCTTTTTGAGTCATTAAAAGAATTGTGGATCCTCAATTACCGAGAAGAATTAGCAACAATTTTCCACTTTCCTCTCATTGACGCCATCTCACCCTGATTAGCTCCTGTGGCGATATCCTGTAGAGCTTGAGATCTCTGCTTAGTCTCTCCATAATGCACTTGAACTCCATCTTCGGGTCCACGACCTTCGTCTTCGTCTTTATCCTATGCTTGGCCCAGTTCAGCATCGCCTCGAATTTCATGATCTCGCTGACCTCGAGGCTCCTGCACATTATCATCTGCACCATCGACTCGCTTAGGGTCAAGAAACCCGAGTTCAGGAACAATTGCGATGCTCTGGTCTCGATGAACGTGAGGATCATGTTGACCAGCTCCGAGGCTGACGTGTACCGCCAACAGTAGTTCTCCAACGTGCATAGCATCACGCACACGATCTCGATCCGTAGGAACTGTTTCGCGTGATGGAAACACGCCTGAAGGAGATCCGGCAGATCGTAATGCTCCGCTGCGCAGATCAGACCAGGTATGTTGCTGCAAGTTAGAGGACAAGAGCCCGTGTGCAGGTAGTCCAGGAGGATCCTGAAGGTCTCTGGATCGAATTCGATGATGTCAAACTAGAATTAGAAGAGATCACGATTAAAATTATGGATTATGGTATCTAGTATGATAGGGACTTACCTCTGTCTGGGCTAATTTTGCTCTGTCAACCTTCTGAGCGTCCACGAACACGCTGAGCCTTGGAACCGCCAGCTGTTGGGCGGCCTTTTCTTTCTCCTTTGCCTCCTTATCTGTGATAGAAAAATAGGAAAAGAGGTATCAGATGATGACGTAAATGTAGAATTTCGTGTATGGAAGAATCACTGATTTGGTTTTATTCGTCCTTGAATATTAATAGGGGCAAGTAGAATATGTCGTTCGTGGTCAGACACTTAGGTCAGACCTGTATGATAGAGTTGAATAAGTCTGATATTATCAGGCGAGTAGAATAATTCTTATACTTTGCATGTGCATTGTGGAGGATTTATGTACGCTGAAAGGTGTAAAGATTGTTGTCATCTGTATTTCATCCAAAGTGAATATTCATTTTGACCAGGGAACAGAGTAGAGCTAGTGTTTACTTTTAATGAAATTAAATGTGGATGAATCGTCCACCGTGCACACCCACAGTGTAAAAGTGTAAATTCGCCTTTATGGACCAGGGGCAGTATAGGGTGGATGCACCATTAAATGATGAACATTATCAAAAATATTGATTTTTTTAAACTCCTTCTTTGCACAACAGGACAAGTAGCCTGTCTAGGTGGACAAAACTGTTTAATTCGATGAGTTCATGATTTCATAATTTTTTGGAAATAAAGATGTTATATGATAGTTAGGAAATAAATAATAATCAAACATTTGTATCCGAACATATTAATTTTTTTAATGGATCTTAAATCCATTGCACTAATCTGTCATATTAAAATTAATTATGTTGACCTTCAAACTTGCATTATTCCAAGTTCGATGTGGTTTAATTCGTTCAATGTGCAACGTTCTTCTGTGCATACATTACACAAAAACAAGAAGGCGAAATATTACATTTTTATCAAAATCTAAGAAATATGGTATATATGTCCTATCATCGTTCATTTTTATATATTATATCTTGTTTTAATAATTTTAATATATTTTACCTTAGACTGTATATAAATTAATAGAAAAGAAAGAAAACATTCGATGCAGACTACTTTCAGACTTTCGTCCAGCTAGGTACGCTATTTGTCCCCCTGTGTATTGGTTAGAAATGTTCATTTACTTTAATTTTCTAAATAAGTTAACTTAATATACTAAATAGTATTTAGTATACTAAATTAAATTGTACCTATAATATCACAATATCTATAATACATAATACAGTATTGCACAATATAGTGTCATAAAATAAATAATAATTTAAAGATCTACCTGAATGCCTATGAAGGCATCTTTCTAATTTCAGTAATTATAAAACAAGAAATCCTAAGTCCGTCGTTTTGACGGGTTCGGTAATTCTAATATTAATCAATTACATGTTTCCAATATTTCACATTGAAATCTACACATTATAAAAAGATATAGATACTAAAAGAGTCTAATTTTTCAATGCCCAATTTTTATTAATACTACAGACTCCTCTCGATTATCGTCCCAAACTCGGATCCACGCTGGGACAATAATCATATAGGGGGGAATGCTCATACCCTCCTAAATTCGTTTCTTGCAGAAGAAAACAAAACCAGAGGCTCAACAAAGTATGCGCTTGACAGCTTCGACGGCCTCCCTTCCTCTAATGGTGGGAATAACATCTAGACAACAATCGCGTAGAACAAGCCTGACAATAATCGAGAGGAGTCTATATTACCATTTAAAATTCGATTTTAATAGTTACAGAATCCCCCAAATGTTCATTCATTGTTGCATTTATCGTATGTAGAAAATAAAAAAAAATAATAAAATCGTAATCCACGTACTGCTGCAGTCCTGGGAACTGGCCCATCGTTTACGGTCCTCGCTCTGCAGCGTGTTCCCTCCACCGTGCTTCCGGATGCTTCTTCCCCAGCCCGCTGTGATCGTTCCGAGCCTCGAGAACGCTCGTTTCACCATTGGCGAGGACGGCACACTTTTAGGTCTAAACAGGTCAGAGCCAGTATCTCACAGAAACCGCAGAGCGGCACCTCAAGGGTACGGAGAGGTAGAGAGACTTTCGGGACACGTTTTCATATCGGGGGTATGGGGGCGTCTGGGAGGAAACGCGCGGTGGTTTAAGGTGGTTAACGGGTACTTAATTTTCGGAGCGTATCGATCCAGATAGGACATTACACGAGACAACGACGAAAGCCCGGTCCGTACGTTGCGATGGAAATTGAACGGAACAGAGATTCGGGGATCACGATCAACGGCGGTTTATATTCTTCGTCGAATCGTTTGCGTCGTGTTAGCTGCATAGATCGTTGCATGCCACGTAGATGAATTTAAGAGGATAATGTTAGACGCGTTCGATGGACGAAATATGGAATTTTTGGAGCTTTATGGAAGAAGATGGTTTGACGGTGGTTCGAAAGCTTGTGCGTATTGTACGAATATCGATCTATTTATTTTATTGATTTATTAGATTGTATTTCAACCTCTTGCGTTAGAATTTAATTGAAGATATTGTAGGAGATCTGAGATTGTTTAGTTATAATATTATTTTTTTTCCATAGGCAGAAATGTAAGAATAATTAGATCAAATTGTGTTGCTTTTATACCTACATTACCGGCCAAAACTATGGGACCAGGCTTGATAATTAAAGAAAAAGAATAATTTTATTCTGTAAAGATTTGATGATAGTAATGAACTAAATCTGATTGGAAATGATCTGTGTATGTACTGATTTTGTGAATTTTATTATGTTGTAACAGAGTAATAAGTTACTGTGTCATTGATTATTGAACTCATACTTTTGGCTGGTAGTGTGTAGAGATTTAATATGGAGAAGACTAGACTCGTTGCTCCATAGTCTTCGAAAGTATCAGAACGTCTGGTAGTCATGATTCTAGTTCAAAATGTTAAATATACAATTTACTGATCGTGTAATCTAAAGAAAATATTCGACAGTTAGAATAAAAAATCCAGATTAACACTGATATTGTGAATTAAAATAAATGAAGAATATTAAATATTAACTTCTTTCGAAAAATTTGAAATTTCAGCACATACTACATAATGTGCTTTAATACAAAATCGTTTCTATTGTTGCCTATACCTTGTATTAATAGGACATAAATATACTCGAATGCCTCAAAGTGGGGACTGTACGATGTTAGATCGTGAAAGTTTAAAAAATCTGAGACGTACAGTGACTCACACATTCGTTCACATAGTTTCGAAATAATAATTAAATATTAAGATCTTTATGCAATTCTTTTTTATACACCTCTTTTTATATTCTGACATATATTTCTCAATATTAAAATAAATTTCGCAGTTTAATACGTAATTTGTCGAAATAATAATTAAATATTAAGATCTTTATGCAATTCTTTTTTATACACCTCTTTTTATATTCTGACATATATTTCTCAATATTAAAATAAATTTCGCAGTTTAGTACGTAATTTGGCGAAATAAATGTGACAGCCTTCCGTGAACAAATTTGTGAGTCACTGTATATATTATACGTGAATGTAGTGATTTGAACAATCGAAAAATCCGTACATAATGATCTCTGAAACAATTTCTTCCATAAGACTAAAAAATTCCGTATTCTTCCCCATCCGTAAATTACCTCCCAAAATCGCTGCGATAAAAACAGTGTACTTCCGGCAAAGTACATGAAAAATATACACAGACACACGTGGAGAAAAGAACTTCAGACGTGGAAAAAGAACACGTACGCAGAGAGAAACGAAAATCGACACGAGTCGATCTCGTCCGAAGCTGAGAGAGATAGATCAGGCGTGGCTGGTTGTGATTTTAATCTTGCGAGAGTGCTTCAACTTGTATTCGCGTTATTGCTTCTCGAGAGTTAATAAAGAAGGAAGTGTAAACATGCGACACGTCATTCACAGTAAAGTAGACAACGGATCGCAGAGTTCGATCGTTTTCTTGCATCGCAGATAGAATAATGTCGAGTTCAATTGGCAGCCGAGAGATGTGATTGGATCGGAATATTCTCCGATCGTCGTGAAAATATAATTTATAAGTAGTTCTCATGCGGTGCTGTGAGGATAGGAGACATGGAAGTGCCGTACAAAAGTACACATAATTACAATTATATGTATAAATACAATACGAATATATATACATTCGACAACACGACATCGCAGGCATCGGGTCTCTCACTGTTAGAGCGAGTCAGGCAAATTTTTATTTAAATAAAAATTTCAAATAACGAATAAGAGATAAAAAAAAGCACTTCGTAGTTTTCAATCGTTTAACACTTTGACTGCCACGTCATCCAAATATGGGTGACACGTACATTGAAAAGTGTCCGGATTATTTAAACACTGTTATAAAATGTTTGCATGAAATTAATATCACAGTATAATTTAAAACAAGACCTACAGCCTCTATTAACTAAACAAATATTTTCGACAATTTATGACTTAAAAAACGAAATAAAGAGTGTCTGGCTACGTACGGCCTTTTTCACTAAAGATAAAAAAAAAGCACTTCGTAGTTTTCAATCGTTTAAACATGGAAATTCCAATTTTTATAACAAAATAATACTTCTTCGTGAATCAATCAATTATTAATCTCATTAACTGTTTAAAGCTCAGAATGATGCCCTTAGATACTGTTGCTTCTCACTAGAGCAGTCAACGTGTTAAACATGGAAATTCCAATTTTTATAACAAAATAATACTTCTTCGTGAATGAATCAAATTATATATTAATCTCATTAACTGTTTAAAGCTCAGAATGATGCCCTTAGATACTGTTGCTTCTCACTAGGTATTGTTCGAATAAAATTGTGCTCAACTCTGTAGCAAGTTCCAACTGTTTTTGTCGCTGAATAAATTCGGTTTGTCATTTCAAATTGTCTCTTTAACCCATTTTTCGCTTGGTGAAGTGAAACATTGAACTGAGAAATAGAAGATCTTTTTAGCAAATTGATTGTGTATGTTGTTATACTCGTGAACTGTGCAAGTAAACAAAACACATTGTAATGGGAACAGATTTAATCGACACTCATAAATTAATTGTTCTATTTATAATTCGACAATTCTTGTAAGATAAATTGTTTAATTCTTGTGAATCTTAACTTTCAGGAAGATTAACTTCGTGTATTAATACACTGTGTGACATAACTTTTAACCCCAAAATTTTCAATTCTTATGAATTGTGGTTAAAATAGAAACGAATCAAGTATGCCATGTTTGAAATTGTGTTGAGAAATAATGTTTCTGCAGAAAAGGATGAAAAAATGGTTTGTTTTTATTTTAACCACAATACATAAGGACTCAAAATGTTGAGGTGGTTTTATAATTATGCCACGCAGTGTAGTAATAACTAAACCCTCTAAAAAATGGTTCATGAAGGATTAATAAGAAGAATTCAAGCTTTAATTCTTTGAACTTTGAGATAAAACCTTCAGACAAAAATGTTATTCTAACGAAATAAGATGGGCAGAATACAATAATAGCAAAATAGAAGTTCTAAACACCAAATCCTCGCCTACCAGGCCAAAAATGGATTAACATCCACATACCGATTCAAAATTTCGATCGACCATATCGTTTTTCCACTGAATTATCGTGATTCGAATTTCTAAACATGTCCAGTCGGCGAAACTGTACATCACTGAGAGTAAAAAATAATCATGAAGATACAAACCTGGGAGTCTCTAGGTCGGGAACTTGGAGGAAGTTCGAACTTCGCGGTTTTTGCGGGCTCAGCAAAGTTGGCGCCGGTCTGGCGAGCAGCTCAGCAACTGGCACTTGAGGACTTCCGAAACCGGCTTGGATTCCGTACAGCATTTCTTGGAAGACTCTGAAGAAAAAGTGCAATCTTCATTGTTTACAGAAACGCTCTTGTTTAACTGTTCGCTTTATATTTCAATTTTATCCCTCGAACGACCGACTGACTAATCTAAGGTAATTAATTTGCAGAAAATGGAATGTATATGGTGATCTACTTTCACTGTCCAGGTGTACTAAAGTGAAGGTAGAGTAGAAATTTTATGAAATATCATCAAATCTTTTGTTTCACTTTGTATGTTATTTAATAAAAAAGTTCTGGTCATAGATGAGGACATTGATATGCAATTAACATTAATCTGTAAGGGAGTAGTTCTTAACAATATTTTCTAATTTCTCTAAGTTGCTTGAGTTAGAATCTGTGCAAAGATTAATGAATTGCTAACCGTTTTAAAGTAACTAATCGTGGTGATTAACTAATCATTTTTAAACAAGTAAAATGTCTTCGGAAGAGGAACTGATTAAATAATTGGTTGGTGGTTACCTGCTCCTCACTGCTAGAATCGCCCTAACGCCTATGAACCGGACCTTCTGCTTCTGATGGCCAGGCACCAAGAAAGAAACGTCGAACAAATTCGCGTTCAACGACGTGTTTTCTTGATTGTTCAAGAACACTCGCGTGAAGTCCCTGGCAAGCTGATCGTAGTCCTCGAATTGATCCCTGACAGAGTCCAAAAGCGGCGAGGACGGTCTCATGTGACCGATTGGTCTCCAGGAACCACGTCTAGAACGATTACATATCGATTTATGAATTAATATATCTGTAGATATTAATTTAATATTCCGTCAAAGATACAAGGAAACCAATTTTCCATTATCTGTATCGTTTTGACAGCTAATAAACGAATTTTCGGTAATAACAATAACAATAGAGAAGAACGAAATTATTTTTAATTTAATATATTTTTAAAAAATCGTATCTTGAGACGATAATAAGAACGTCAAAGTTGATTTTTCTTACTATTTTCTATTCCAGTGAGCAAAATGTCTCTCACCTGTACGGTTTCGGAATTTGCCCAGTCTCCGCATGGTTAGCCAAATTGGCCACGATGTCCTCCAGCATCTGACTCCTCGTTCTTTCCTGCATCCGAGCGAATTTCGGCGCCGAATAGCTCGCCCTCTCGCCATTCACGATTTTCGTCAGAATCCATTCACGGAACATCGGTCCTGCGAACAAAGGAATTTAAATTTAATCTATTGGACCAGCAACTTCAGATTCTGTTCTTATCAAATTTAACTCGCACCACGTACAATTGATTCAAGTAGGTACTATTTTTTTAACTTTATATTAAATTTGAAATTTTGTTTCAAACTATCCATACAAAATTTTGTATAGAGATATTGATATTAAAAATTATTAAGAAAGTTTCAGAAGTCACGACAGAAAGTTTTAAAATAAAAACTATTAGAGGTAAAGTTTAAACAAAATTTTAAGGGAACAAAAATTGATCAATTTTCAAACGAAATAAGGAAACGGAAATTTATTTAATTTTCGAAATTCTTCATTTATAAATATGTTCTTATGTGAACTGAAAATTAACAAAGTTTAGAGGGAGTGTCAAAAGGTGGATGGAGGAATTTTCGTGGAAATTCCAGTTATTACCTTTCTCGAAGACATTCTGTTCCCAAAGATAGGGCTTGTAGGCACCGACTTCGTCCCTCGTTACGACGGACACCTCGTACCTGGTGATTTTCCTCTTTATACGGGGACTGACTCGCACCAGAATGAACGTGTGCAGGAAATGCGATTTTATGCAGCCCGGGCTGAATGGAGTGTTATCAGCTTCTAGGAAAACGACGCACACTATGTCGTTGCCGATGTGCCTTTTCCTTTGGAGCTACGAATTTCGCATTTATAATGCACACGTATTATATATCTAATAAATAATATACATGGGTATTAAATTAAACAATTTTCAAGAGTAATACATCGTCTACGTAAAAATAAATACCATTAGAAATACTAAATTTGATCAACTCACAAGAAAGTAAGATTTTCGAGAGACTCAACTTGTAATAATTCATTCCTTTTAATTATTAAATAAAGAAACGAGGAAAACTTTCTCCTAGGATATTGTCTAAACTACTTTCTGCGGTCCAAACAATGAATCTCAATAAACTAATAGAATATATGTTAAATAATGTGCGTGCTATCATAAATTTAATCTTTTACGATCCTAAGTCGACATCGCCTCGACAGTTAATATTATTGCAGAAGTTTCATATGTTAGTGATCTTCGATATATTTGCTTGCAATGTTACAATCGCAACGTTCATAAGTATTATCGTAATATTTATTAGATATTATAAGTATATTATGCAATTAAAAGTTTGAAATCTAGTCAAGTTATAGATATTTATGTAAATACTAGATCCTTGCACATGAAATGGATGATCTAGTGATTGGTATTTATATTCGACGTTACTTTTATGAATGAAAATTATTAACATAGCTCTTTTTTTTATTTCAGAATTATAGAGTGTATTCTATTTGTTTGAAGCTTCTATCTAACATAACAATAAAATCAATTAAATATACTACAGTTACTTAAAGTAGGGACTCAGTCTCAGTTCAATTTGACCATTTTCTCCACATGCATGAAAAGATGGACATTTAAGCCCAATTCATAAATAAACTTCACAAAACGCATGTAAACTTCTGCTAAAAAAAATACTATGGCAGCTAAAAGCGTCTTTCAAGAATTATTTTCAAATTCAGTGTCATAATCACCTAACGAATATAATAAAGTGAACTATTTAATATTACTTTGGCTAATAAAATTCATATAATGTTCAATATAACATCAAGTGTTGATAATAAAATTGGACCGCAAAAACGTCAACGAATCCTACCTTTTGGGGATCGTTCTTCTCGTAAGGCAGCAGCGTGGAAACGTGGAACATAATCTCGATGCTCCTCCAGTTCGTGTAAACCGAATACAAGCCGGTCAAGTCGTGGGTGATGTCCAGGCCGCCCTTATACTTATCGAAGCCCTTCAGTCGTACTTTATCACCAAGAATCTGCATGAACTCCTCGAAGAGGGGCGAGTTTTCGTTGTTGTCGAAAATTTCCTCCTCGGTGCACTGGCGCTCCTGAACGTAGATCACGCCGACCTTCAGCTCGGACTTTATGAATACCTGATCCAATTTGAGCAGCTCCTCCTGAGTGTCCGGCAACTGGCCCAGCGTGAACGGTGGATTCACGTTCACCTCCTTGCCGAGGCTGCGGACTACCTCCTCGCGATTGTATCTACGAAAAACAATCGATTTTCCAACACTTTTTTCGTGAATAATTCACCCCTTGTTTCTTTAACTTTCTGTTCTTTAGCTGTAAAGGTTATGCACGATTCGAATCTTTTATACTACAGTATATTCGCTTCACATCTTGTACAGGATGTTTCATAAACTGTGTTCGCCTGATTATCTCATAAAGGACTATAGAATTCTATGTTTAAAAATGGTTATGAATATTTGATTGTGAATGATTTTATCTTCTTAGGCGATGACCTGGACTCTCTGCTTCCTTTACAGGGTGATTCATAAACTCTGTTCTTCGAATTATCTCAAGAAAGAGGACTTCTGTTTTAATAATTCCCCTCACCATGGAATTCTATCTTCGAGAAAATTGTTGTTCAACTTTTTAACAACTGTAATATTCTTCTTATGAGACTCCTAACGAATTTACACAATCCCCACCACTTTTTTGTTTACTATGCTCTTGATATATTCTCTACACATTAATACTACAATATCTTCTAACTTCAATTCTTCCTTTTCAGTACAGTCAACCGTAAATAATTATGTCTTCGAAGCTCCCCAAGTTGCCCATCGACTCTTCTCAATCGTGAACATTTTAGAGAACCTCACTGTATCCTCATCTTACTAACCCTAAAAAACCACACCCCTCCTCAGCATACCTGAATACCACACTAGTGAGAATTGGGTTTTCGAATTCTTCATAATTAAGAATTCGAAGAGAATAACAGCAAATTGATCTCATAACAAATATTTTGGGGCACAATTTCCTCATAAATTCAATGCTAATAATTGCAAAAATGAGAAATAATTCTTTAACTCTGAGGCACACGATTTTAAAGAAAATAGAAACCCTAGTTGCACAGAATTTTTTCTTAATATAAAAAAAATTATATAAAAATAAAATATTAAACTGTATGACTATGAGTAACTTCAACTTTTCGAGGTGGGTTAAAATATATCCCACGATGCATAAAAAGCTAAGCAAAAGGTGGGACAGTTTTTAACCCACCTAACCCTAAAGAGTTAACTATGAAAATTTGAAACCATTATGCTAGCCCAAACAGAATCTTACAAACGGAAACAATTTATCGCTGTTGCAAATTCGCACTAGCGTGGTATCTGGGGGTTATGAAACTAGATAATTAAATAATCATAACTACCCGGAATACTTGAAACAAATAACCAGTCATCGTCGTCTTATTAAACCACAAGTGAATTACTTATTGCCACCTTGATTACTTCAAACGCAAACATAGTCCCAAAGCCAACATTCACTAGGAATCCTCCATGAGTCCTAGAACAATAGCACCCTAGACCAAATTCTCGAGGTACGCTATTCCGGAATCACCCCCATAAATCAGCAAGTGGAGCATTCTAGTACCGATCAGCGAAGACGCAACTGGCCGGGATCAGGCCGTGAACGGTGTAGTTGGTCGCCCTAACGAGGATCCGGAATTGATCCCGGCCGTTCAGCGTTTCCTGTTTAATGCTTAGTATCACCGGTCCGAGGTCCTCGTCTTTGGTGAAGTAATTCCAGTGCTCCCGCTGATGGAAGTATTTCTCGTAGGTCTCCTGCTCGACGGACGTGAGCTCGAACCCCTGATTCTTCTCCCATTGCTCCTCGATGGTCGTTTTCTTCTTAGGCACCTTGTCCAGCCCGTCTTCCGGCTCCTCGTAGAAGCAATTGCTGTTGTCCTGCCGTCTTTGCGACGATTCCTGATCGTCCGGTTGTTCTGGGTCGGACGCGTCTCCACTTTCGCTCTCGTCCCAGATCGTGTCCGTCATGATCTGCTGCCTGGAACACTCGATCCAGTAACCGGCGCCTGGCACCAGGTTGTGCGGGAACTCGGTGCAGAACTCATCTGCAATTAGAGGTTAGGAAACTGGGTGTTAATACGTTGTGGTTGGATATGGTTTTGGTTGAAAGCTTCTTCTGGGATCGACAGGGTTGGTAGTAGCACCTAAGTTGTTTATAGAACTTAGGTAGTTTTTGCATCTTAGATAGTTTCTACACCTTGGGTACTTTCTACACCTTAGGCACTTCCTACACCTTATGTTGTTTCCACATCTGAGATACTTTCTATACCTTAAATAGTATTTACCCTTAGGTAGTTTCTACACATTTGGTACTTTCTATACCTTAGGCACTTCCTACACCTTACATTGTTTCCACACCTGAGATACTTTCCATACCTTAGGTAGTTTTTATCCTTAGGTAGTTTCTACACATTAGGTACTTTCTATACCTTAGGCACTTTCTACACCTTATAATGTTTCCACACCTGAGATACTTTCTACACCTTAGATAGTTTTTACCGTTAGGTAGTTTCCACACCTTAGGCACTTCATACACCTTACATTGTTTTCACACCTAAGATACTTTCTACACCTTAGATAGTTTTTACACCTTAGGTAGCTTCTACACTTTAGGCAATTCCTACAGCTTATGTTTATTTCCACACCTGAGATGCTTTCTACACCTGAGATACCTTCTACACCTGAGATAGTTTTTGTAACTTAGGTAGTTTTTACTCTTTAGGTACTTTCTACACTTTAGGTACCTTCAACACCTTAGGTTGTTTCTGCACTTTAAGTAAGTAGTTTTTACATCTTAGGTACTTGCCACACTTACGTATTTCATACACCTTAGATAGTTTTTCGCAGATCTTCTAGGATCTAAATATAATGAATACTGATTTCGTCGGTAAACAATGGGTTGATTTATCAATTAATTCCTCTCGTAGATCCTACCTGGTGCTAATAATAGTAAAATATATAATACAATAATAATAAAATATACAGGGTGCGACTAAAATTATAGTATTTACAGGCAGGTAGGAGATACTTCCTAAATGTTTTCGTCCGGGTTAAGGTCTCGAGGAGATCGACTTTGAAAATCTACAGAATAGTGCAATTGAATTGGACTTGGCTAACGTGTCTTTTCATTACTAACAATTTCTGTTTACTATACCCACGAACACTATCAGCTTAATTTTAAACTGTGACTTCCTCAAAAACTAAGTACTCTCCGCTGAAAAGATTTCAGTCCACACGTCTGATTCATTTTTGCTAGAGCAATCCCCTCTGCCCTTTTTTCCACTACTTCGACCGCACCCAATACAAACTAATATAATTCTAAAATCTCGGAAAATTCTCTAGACAAAAGAACAACTCCAATCATTCAATTATCTTATCCCTCAAATCACCGTTAGATCCACAATTCTCCAAAACCTAACCCACAAAAAACGCAACAGGGAATCTTCTTAACTGCACTTCTCGCCGCAAGAGCCATCGAAGCATCCTCCAGTGTCTAGACGTTCAGACCGCATAGAGACGCGAAGATCACCAAAGCAGCCTAGAAATCATTAAGGCATGAATCTCCGTTGTTCTCCGCGTTCAAGAACCACCTCGAATCCATCGTGGATCCAAGAGGCGCCACGGCATCTCAGAGATTTTTCCTGCGACAAGACACTCCGAGCCACTTAAGCACGTATCACCAATAATGCATTTCCTCGATCACACCCGTTTCCATCCCCCTGTCTGTGTTCGTATGGCGATCCTCCGACTCTTCGCCTGCAACACCTGGATTACCGTGGCGTAGACGTTACCACGCGATCGACTCACTGTAAGGTGGAACACCAAACTGTTTTACAGACAGGCTTGGTATTCGAACTTAAAGTGAACCGGCCGGGGCGCATTTATCCAGTTGCCCCTACGAAGTCGTCTTTCCGCCCCCTCTAATCTCCGGCTCTCTCCCTCTGGCTGGAATTAATGGGCTATAGTGCTCCGTAAATTCGATCGTCGATACGGGGCGCCGCCGTTCCAGTTTCCCACCTCCACACTCTCCCCTTTTCCCCCTGTATCTCCACCCTGCTCGGAGTATCACGAGATTCCCTTCGATAAAATAATGAAGATCGTGTCTCTGATACGATCCGTCCCCACACACCGTCGAACGGCCGTCCTTTATCTGATCCAGAGTGTCCATGGTCTTGTGGTCGATCTCTTTTAGTCGTGGAGAAACTTCACTTGGTATACTTTTGTAGGCTGAGTTATTGCAATAGTTTTTAATAGTCTTGAGTCGTTGACAGTTGCGATTGGTAAATTTTGTTCTTCGGTTGGTGACACGTGTGAACGTTTAGTTTCTTTTTTTAGTGTCATTGTCTTGTTGGAGTTGAAGACGTGTTCGTTGGAGATCTTTCTATCGTTTCTGAGAGGGAAAATGAACGTAGAGTATTGAAGTTAGGTCCTTGGTTTCTTGGTCGCTTATATTTATCGCGAATATTCCGTATGAGTTAGGTTTGTGATATTTGTACGAGTTGTGATATCTGGTCGCATACTTCTTACTTAAAATATTGTCTGGAAGAGTATTGCAGAGTGCTGTGGAGAATTATGAAATATCTTTGATTTTCGAAGTTGTTCGGAATGGACTTAATTTCTTTTTCTGAAGTTTTAATATGAAATGAAATTAAGGGAATGACTTCAAACTTTTTTTTATGGATGAACAATTCTCGTTGGAACAATGCAATCTACGTGAATATAATGAATATTATTGTAGATTTTATAAAGATTGTGTATATAGTAACTATACTAAATGACATTATTATAACAGTACAGAAATTGATTTAAAAGATTTTTTAATGTCCCGAAGAATAAAACAGCCTGTACCGTAACGAACAAAACAGTTACCACTTTCTTCATTTTTTTTTATTGTAGTATTTCTTAATATCAAGGTAAACTTTCATATACAGCAAATCTTCGATGAACGTTCGAAAGCTCCTCGGCACTGAAGATTAAATATTTCATAAACTAATGGCCGTATGCGGTGGAAACAAATATCATTGGCTTCAGAATTCCGAGCTTTATCACTGTGTTCAACCTCATTAAAAAGTCAGCGTTACACAAGTCAGTGCCGAGATGCCTTCGAACTCTCATCGTCGATTTGCTGTACTGGATTTTAAACAGCTTTTAATTCTCTATCAGAATATATATTAAACACATATTGTAGTTCGAAGTTGACGTTAAAAAATAATAAAAATAAAACAAATCGAAGGAGCAGTAATTTTTTCGTCCGTTAACGTATATACATAACAATCTGTACGAAATAGTTAAAACAAGAAATAAATAGTTTTTCTTTCTGTTAAAGTTTCTCCGTTCGGTACTCAGAATGTCGAGAAGCTTCGGTTTAGATTATCCATCTTAGAATACTTTAACTCTTATTAAATAGTGGATAACAATTTCCAGCTCCTGTCGCAACAAGTGTTTCGAAAATCCAAAACACGTTCATTTCCTTCACGTGCTGCTTCGAGGGACGCGTTATAATATAAAAAAAAACAGGTGGCGAATGCAGTAAATGCGCGTTAAATGAAAATTCCCGCGCCACGTTAAGAGCCCTCGTAAAATCTTCAAACATACACGGAAAAATTCTCTCTCCACCGTTCGTTGGAATATTCTAAGTGAAAACACAATTCATTTAGAAACTAGGAACGATACTTCAAGGTGGGTGTAACTTCTTCCAGATCTTCTTTCAACGAATTTTCTGTTAACACTTTGACTGTCATTAAAAGTACATGATACGAATGTTGCAATGCACTCAGGAGGCTGAATTATTTAAGTAAAATTAATGTCACAGTATAATTTAAAACAAGACCAACAGCCTATATTAACCTTTTCATTCCGAAATTATATAAAAATGACCGAAGAAATATTTTGTTCTATTTTTCTTTATATTGCATAACAGATAAATGATTCATAAGAACATTTTAACATTTTCGAACCGTTTGATCCCATTTTTCATTCGTTGCCATTTGACAATTTATTTATATTTATCACAGTTATATATAATAATTCTCATTGTAATGTTATTATTTGTAATGAAACCCAATTTTTCTTACCTTTGATCAATAAACCCTTTCGATATATTTGAAAGAAATTACAGTTTTGTGAGTTTCTATTGTATTTGTAATATAAGTTTTTAAGTGCATATTCAGATTTGTGGCATATCATCTATACAAAACTAGAAGAAACTATATTGTACACTCACAAATATGAAAAAATACAAGATACCCATATTGTATTTCGTAATTTAAAACATGTAGCCATATGGCAACAGCGGGAACGAAAGGGTTAACTAAACACGAACTAAAACGAAATAAAATATGTCTGGCTACGTACAGCCTTTTCCACTGTGACAGTCAACGTGTTAAAAGGGTCGAATGATCGAACACCTGTATTATCTCCATGCCCCATCAACTTTCAGTACACTAGAACCTTGATTATTCGAACTAATAGGTAGACAAATCCACTCTGACAAACATATTTTTCTAATAATTTGGTCCCAAAAAAACACACAATTTAACATATCAATAAAAACATTTAAAACAATATTATCCACGTGCACTGTGTTCCAATAATCTCTATTTGCGAGTTTCCGATAATCGACGTTCATACTGTGATAAGTTTTCGATAGAATCGTAAACCATTTGAGTTACTCTCGAACACCGAAAACACCGGTATTGTATTTTTAAAAGACGACACGAAACGTCTATCGATTCAATCGACAAGTGAACAGACGAAAACGTGAAACGGAATACAGGATCGAGCGAACGTTTCGCGTTTCCGTTCAGCTCGAAGTCGTCGATTGCGACTTGGAATTGCACGATGGAACCAAGAGACAGGGGGAGGAACCACCTGTAGCGTTCGTTCATACATATGCGCGACCGTAAAAGTTCCGAGTCGAGGTTTTCCGCTCGAGGCGGTACGAAAATTCGAATCGTTCTTCTCCGATCCCTCACCTGAGCAGGCCTGCGGCGGCAACGGGAATATCAGGGTGGTCGATGACTTTCTCCTCCGGACTTCACAGCCTAAATGATGCGATTTAAAGCAGCGCAACTGCTCCATGAAGTCCGAGCACTCCATCAGCGCCACGTCAGCGAAGTGAAGATCGCAAAGTATTTGGTTCTTGAACCTGTCGGTCAAAGGGATCACTTTTTTTTTCTTTTTTTACTACTGCCTGTTCATTGATTTATTAATTAACCGTTTGCAGTCGAAACGGAACTCTCAGTCACGACTAAATATATTGCGGAAGGTCGAGTGGCGATCGAGACTGGCCACTAGGAATTGCTTCAGGTATTTTTTGTTTTTGCACCTTTAAATTGCCTGCAACCAGTAACAGAATTCAAGAAAAACTTGGAAAATTATCAGAGTCCAATTTAGAAAGAAGGAATGGGAAAAAGTGACTCAAAGATTGAACGAAGTGTGGGGACACGAGCGTTCGATAGATGCTTCTTGGAGAATGTTTTTTAAAGTATCATACGAAAGAAAATTATAGAACTTAAAACACTAATATTATATCCTTTACTATATTTTTATTTATAAATTTTTGTTTACTTAAAGAATTTCTCGACTTGTTGGCTCTCCATACTCAAAAAGTTCCGACTGCAAAGAGTTAATCCTTTGAGTGCTTGCTGAAATAATCAAACGCATGGGAAAAAATGTCCACTTTTTTGTGACTTAAACTTAAGCTTTTAACTGTCGGGAATAATATGGAAATATAAGTTTTACATGCGTATTTTAATTTTGTTCTTACAGAAATTTATAATAATCTCTACTTGTATCGTACACTTTAAAACAATCGTTATTATTGAATACTAGACAATGGAGTCGTGATTGAGATTTTGATGATGAAGGATTCAATTACTTATGTACCTATAAATAAAGTATTTCTAAAGCAATGAAACTACTAAAGGAATGTATCATTCTATTTCAACTTCTTACAAAGTAAACTATTTTATTTTATTGACATACTAGTTTATTGATTCCATATTCCATAAGAATATATCCTTCACATTCTGTACTTCTTTATTACTTTAAAATTCGTAATTATATAATATAAGAATCATAATAGTTTGATTTTAATTCTTTAATGATCTATAGTAAGTGTACTAATAAGTAATTCAATAGAATTCCAATATGATGGCGATACATTTTAGCTGTAGAATATCTTTCCAATCTTCAATTCAGTCCAAATGACAGAGACTAATGGGAACAAATTGTTAATATTATTAAAATAGAATAGGTATTTGAATTATTTCAAACTGAACATAGAGTTCCACAAAAAATAGTGGAGTACTCATTAGTCCACCTAATATATGAAACAGTTGGATATTAGAAGGAAAATAATAATATATTAGATATTATAGCGATTTTCATTTCATTTGAAGTTTACTAGACTCATTGATAGAACCAATACATTTTTATTCGATTCCACTGCCTGTAAATTAATCCATAAACATTTAATTTCTGCATATATTAACAATCTAGTTATAATTTTTCGACGTTCCAATTTTCAGAATGCAAAGGTTTTGGCTTTAAATAGAATTACCCGTTTAAGATAAAGTGAAATGGAGAAGAATATCCAGCTTGTAAATAAAAAGCTAATAAATTCCCGAAGGAAGAATCCTTGTGAGAATGATACTTCTCGAACTCGTGCGAACATTATCGCGGGTGAAAACAACCGGCGTGGGGGCGCGAGGTTTCATGAAAGTCGAATCCGGTCGATAAAAAGTGAATCCGTGGCGTCCCAGCGGCGGTCGTTATTGGATCACGCCGACCCTCTTATCCCCTTTATCGTCCTTTATTATCCCGGATTCACGCAATACCAATTAAAATCAATGCGATGCCTGAGGAGTGCTTTGAATCACGATTCGGATGAAATTGTTTACTAGGCAATATTGAGCTGTTAATGCATTTACCGTTTTCACCTTTTTCTTCTACCATCAAATTATACAAGCCCGATACATGCCTCAAACAAGCAAACTTCGAAAACTTGTCAAGTGAATGAAATTTAACGCTTTAATTAATAAATTAAAGAGTATTAAAGTGAGGTCAAAATTTAAAAAATTAATCCAATATGTTTCAGAGTAAAGAAATGTAAAGTTTTTGACTAATTGAGAACGAATATTTGTGTGTTAACTTAATTAACAATTTAATTATTGCGGTAGTGTTACAAGTTTTTTCTTAAAATTAAAACAGGGTTTGATTTATTCCGTTTGTTGACCGAACAATGTCAGTAACACATAAAATCAGCGTTCAGAATTTACTAAAAAATTAAGGAACTGATAAATTGTTTGAGATTAATATTGTTAGGAATATAACATTTAACTAGAAGACGTAAATAAAGGATTCTTAATACCTTGATAATGCAACCGTATTAAAAGGAAAAGTTATTGCTCAGTCGTTTCCAAGTAATTCTTCTAGAAACAGCGATAACATTTCATTCCGAAGCATCGAGGTAGTTTATCTTTATAATTCACTGTCGAGCGGTAAAACAAAATGTCCGAAAGTTGTTTTCTACCCGGAGCCAAATCGAGTTACATTCCCTCGACCCCGAGTTTCGCATAAATTTCAAACGGTTCCACGCTGTAAACATCCGAATCAACCGTTTTATCGCGGTCTTGAACATCGAAACGAAACCGAAAAGAGAACAACTGCCAAACAACTTTCGTCGGACCGATGGAAATCGTCGTAGTCGCCGTGATACATAGTCGAACGTTACGATCGAGGGACGTTTTAACTGATTGAATCGCGATCGCCAGGAGCTCCGTCACGTTTCACCTTCATGAAAAAACAATTCACGTTGAAAATTCACAGTTCGAACAATTGTAAACGAATACGAAGCGTTTCTTCTTCTTATTTTCGAAGCAGTAGCCTGCGTTAAAATTTCATCAACAAATGTGTCTGACCACTGCTTACTATTTCTACTTATAATAGACACAAATGCACGGTATTCTTTTTGGTCTCCATAGATTATATTATTTTCTACCTAACAATTTATATCATTAAATTATAATAAGTAGATTGTCGATATTAATGCAAGTATAGACTTTTGTGAGTTAATTGTTGGAAACTGAAATCCAACAGAAATTTATTTCCCTTATTAACACTAGAACCACCGACAATAAATGTATATTTATTTAAATCCGTTGATATTATAACGAACTTTCGAAAATTTGCAAGTTTATAAATTAATTAATTCATTCACTTTCATTTCGTAATAAAGTTACAGAAGATCTGAGAAAATGTATTGTTATAATTAGACAGTAGATTTTATGCATTTATAGCGTATAGAGCTTTTGTGAAATATAATGAAACACAAAAGTTTCGTAAGATGCAACCAGTTTCCTGTTTTCCTTTGAACCAAGTAAGATACTTAACAGAAGGAAGAAATTCCTACGTTTGCTTTTGTCTTTATAAATATCTTCAGAAAATATTAGATCTTGCATAAAAATCCATAGTCCATTTATAACATTTCAATCATCGTTAGAAAAGTGTACTGACCAGTCATTTTGACTGGTAGTTCTAGTGTTAAAGGTTTCATCGTATTCCGAACAAAACGAAAATTCCATTAAACTTCATTCTACTTCTGAGTATACTGACTTCGACAATCGAATATTCCCAAAATGCATAAAATCCGTAGTCTAATAATAAGAAAACATCATTTCATATTTTCGATTTGTTACTGTTAGTATTAGGTCTACAAATTAATTCGTGGCCTCCACAATTAATTACTCAAAACCGCCATCATATTTTCGAGAGGAGATTCCCGAAATTCCCGAGAAATAGCGTAAATGTGTAAAAAGTCTTGGGGAATATTTTCAATCCTAGACTTTATTTTCAACAAATCTACGAAAATAGGGCCACGAATTAATTTATCCTTAGTTAGTATTAATTTGTAATAGGGCCACGAATTAATTTGTACACCCTTTTTCTCGAATCTACTACAAACTATGTGCTACATTTAACGAAACGCTTTTTTAAATTGCAGTAACATTTTACCTAGTGATTCTAAATGTACAGTCATGTGGGTGCAATACCAACGGGAGGGTTAACCGTGAAATTATTTTTTCTCGAGACGGATTTCGAACCTTCTTTTTTCTCCAGCACAAGGCTGCAATACGAATGCTCCTCTTTTCCACGGAACAACCGCGCGAGAAACAACAGAACCGGGATGTTTATTGCGTGATCGAGCCCGGTATTCTCTGTACAAATAGGAAATTAAAGCAGCCGGGCCCAGGGTCGTTCGGCGATATCTGTGATTTTCCACTCACCGTCTAGCCCGCTTCTGATTCGGTCCCGTGAGATTCAGGCCGCAGCTGTTACATTTTAGGCATTCCTCATGGTGGTGATTGTTGTCGTACAACGGCGACGGCTCTTGAAACAACAAACAGATTGGGTGTTATTATAAATATCCTATTCGTGGCAGTGATCACCTTTCTCTTCTTTGGATTGAGTATGATTCGCTTAACCCTTTGACTACGAACTGCACTCGCAAAACAGGACGCTGATTATATTACGATGTTGTTTGTTAATGATTTAACCCTCGGTTGTCGTACGGGGTCGAAACGAACCAAAATTTGTCTTTGAAGTAAAATATCCTTCAGGCATCATTGAAAATGGTATTACTATGTAGCAATAACTTCAGGTATCCTGAAAGAATTTTTTCGAAATTTTGTTTCAAGAATTTCTTTAGCATGATGATACTTTAAATGCTAATCTGTTACGTTGAAAATATATTCTACAATGTTTCAAATTTATCTTACAATTTTTGCGACTTAATTTAATCGGTAGTGTGACCCAGTGTGACAATTATGTTCGAAAATATATGTGTGATAACCGAGGGTTAACAAAAACATCTAATACTTTGTATAAGTTTTAGAAAATATATAATAATTATAGAATAAATTATAGAATAATATAAGAATACGATAGATGCAGAGCAACAGCCGATTAAAAAATGGGAATTTCCGAATTTCTTCCTAGAACGAAGGAAATACACCTGTTGTTCACCGTCAAAGGGTTAATTGTGAAGAAACTGCAGATTTTTATGTATATTAATACTTTTTGTGGGCTGATTTAGAGAAACAATAGCGAGGAAGAACAGCTATTTGTTCGTAGAAAATTATAAAGAAAAATTATATGTATTGATTATTTTATTGCATTCTGAATGAAGTACAATGTTTATTAAAATTGCAAAAAAAAATCTGTAGTTTCGATATTATAGTAGAACTGGGTCATCCGGACGAGTTCATTAAATATCTACCTGTCCAATTATCCGTCTCTACACTCGGAAAATGAGAATCTGCACTGTACAGGACGTTTCAAATGTAGTGTCTCGAGTTCTACTACAATGGGAATGGTTTATTTGTATAATTTTTATATACATTACTCGAAACAATTAGAGCATCGTATATCGCTTTCACTGTCAATATTGTGTCTAATTCCTGTATGATTTTTAATTAAAATAAGACTGGGTGTTATGATTGTTTTGAGCAGTGTATACATAAACTAGAACTATACTAACTCGTGTGCATTTATCTCTGATAATGAGAGTTCAATGGAATTGTAATTTTGGAATTCAAATTGAACGTGTGAAAAGGAACCATTCTTTATTTACGAAAGAAGAAAGGACTTAAGCCTAGAATAAAGTATATAAAATGAATTAAATTCAACCGGACATTTCTTACCGTCAGATTTTTTGCTTTACTCGAATTTTGTGTTATTAGCACCAGGGAAGTTTTTAATTGGTCGTATGAAATATTGTACAATTTATACGCATTATCCGACGAATAGGAGTATAATAGATAAAAAAAACAGGTTCTCATTACAGAATAAGTAAAAATTATAGGGAAAGTTTTTTCCTCTTCTCGGTGTACTTTTCCGAGCTATAATTCTTCCGTGGAAGACAAAACGATTGTCGAAATTAATTGAAACCGGCGGAGAATGTGTTTCCATCATTTAATCCCAATTTGTTCGATACTTCATTTATAGGGCACTAGAACTATCAGGGTAATTAAATTTCAATCTCGACTTATCAGAATTACTCGGTTCATTAAGCTTTAATTACATCTATAATATAATTCATTCAAATTTCCTGTACGCTGCACGTGAAATCGAGAAAGGCTTATCTTCTCTTATTATGTTCACAAGTGATAATTGCGAACGTTTATAACTAATTGTCCCATATTACCAAAACGTAGGTACTATACAGAAAATTATACATACGATGAAAATGTAATGTTAAATTGATTTATTTAAATTGCTCTTTGGTTATAGGTTTTTTAATTTTTATTACAATTTTCATAATAATATTAAAATGTAACATTCTCGAATCTATTACAGATAAATAGAGATGTTTCTTATTTCTTATGAACTTTTATTTTACTTATAATCCCTAGAGCCTTGCTGATACTGATTCACGTACGTAATTCGATATAGTTTGACACGGTTATCTTAATACTCAGCATTTTAATACCTTTAAAGTATCAATAGTCAAAGATAGTTCCATTCCAATTCTAGATGATACAGTTTGATGTGGTTTAACGAAACTACAATAATTCCTCCCACTAATATTTCTGAACGTTGATAAGGGTTGACATTCTCTAATATAGTTTGACAATGTCCAACAAAATTAACGCAGATTTTTAAACTCATACAAGCTTAAATATCCAAAGGTACATTTGCTTCGTAAAGAACACTAACGTTGTACATTACATTGCATTACATCTTGCGAACTCCCACAAACACTCTGAAACCCACTTATTACCCAAATAACACCACCATTCAGATCTTCACATTACATCACAACTTTTTACTAAATCGTCATCATAATTTGTAATCAATTCCCTCAAACTTCCTTAAACTTCACCTTCTCCGACCAATACATTCGCAAACATCCGAACTCCCACAAACATTCCGAACACTCCGAAAGACACTTCTTCCCTAAATACATCACCATTCAGACCTTCACATTACACTACAATTTTCTACTAAATCTTCGTCATACTTTCCAATCAATTTTCTAAAATTTCACCTTCTCCGACCAATACATTCGCAAACATCCGAACTCCCACAAATACTCCGAACACTCGGACACACTTCTTCCCTAAATAACACCACCATTCAGACCTTCACATTACACTACAATTTTCTACTAAATCTTCGTCATACTTTCCAATCAATTTTCTAAAATTTCACCTTCTCCGACCAATACATTCGTAAACATTCGAACTCCCACAAACATTCCGAACACTCCGAAACCCACTTCTTCCCCAAATAACACCAGCATCTAGACCTTCACATTACATCACAACTTTCTACTAAATCCTCATCATAATTTGTAATCAATTCCCTCAAACTCCCTCAAACTTCACCTTCTCCGAGCAATACATTCGCGAACATCCGAAAACACTTCTTCTCCGTCCAACCAGCACCATTCCCCCGAGAGAGCTCCATCCCTTCGAAATTCCCCCCGAGACGGTAACACCATCCGAAAACAAAAGGCATCCAATAAATTCACCGTGGCAAAAGTGGCTCGGGAAGCAAGAGAACACGGAACAGTCTTTTCCATCGGTCCCATTTCCTTCCCGCCTGTTATCCCATCGATCAATTTCGCGATACGGCGTCGTCGGCCGTTGGGGCAAGCGTGGCATCCAAGAGGAGTGTTCGATCGTTGCCTTTCACGCGCCCTTCACCCCTCGCCATCGTCCCCGATCGCCTACTTTTCCACCCCCTCACCGCCCCCATTTTTTTCCGTGTTTTATACTTAACGACCCCTCGAGAGAGAGAGCTCGTGTCGCCGAGGGGTGTGGTCTCTCGTGACGCCGCCGCTGCCATAAAGAATTCCAACGCGTGCCGGCCACGGAATTTTGATATCGCCACCCCGAAGGAACCCCCAAGCGTCGCGAGCGCCGACGTCGACGCTCTGGGCTCTCGTGACCACCGGAACGTCTAATTGCGCGAACGCACGCACACACAGGGGGTGTTATCTTGATTCAAATATCTGCCCGACCCCCGTGTGCGCTACGCCCTCCGGAGGCGAATTAATATTTAAGCCACCGCGACCTAGCCTGACTCACTTTTCACCCTGTTCTTATATTTTAATTAATACGATAATTGACCCTTGGTAGGGGACTCGTGTATGGGTGTGGATAAGATGGCCGATTTTCGGGTCAGATGCACCATTGAGTTTATAGAAATAGGAATACAGTAAATCCTCATTGAATGTTCGAAGGCTTCTCGGTACAAGGAGAAATTCTCAGGTGGTAACACTGACTTTTTAATGAGATTTGACCCGATGATAGAGCTTGGAATTTTGAAGCCAATGATACTTGTTTCAGCCGCGTGTGGCTATTAGTTTATGAAATATTTAATGTTCTGTGCCGAGGAGCCTTCGAACAGTCATCGAGGATTTACTGTACAGTGATTGACGTAACCCTCGTGTAACACTCTGTGTAAGAACTGGTTTGTAGATACGTACAGAAATAAAACTAGAACTAAAAACTGGACTATTTTACACAACTCTGAAATAGTGTTTTAGGAATACTATGTCATAGAATAGTGTTAATAGTGTTAATAGTTCTGAAATAGTGTTTTAGGAATACCATTCGAGGATTTCCTCAATTCTCTGACCATGTTATGGGAATGTAGTGTTATACGGGGGTTGCTTATATGTATTTAAACCCTTGAAAGCAGATTAATGGTGTGAGGAGAATTTTTTATGAATTTTTTGTTAACATCATAGGAAGATAGCGGAAGCTTTATTCTATCTTTGGGACGAGGGGTGTATGTGTAGATTCACTGATAACGGGGATGTTGAATATATCGTCCTAATAAGAGTTGATATTGATCTATGTCAGCATACTAGGTGTACCAATAAGTAATCCACTATGGTTTCAACATAGTAAAAATACAGCTTGAAATCTGAATACCGTTCTGATCTTCTGTTTAGTCAAAATGGCGGAGGATGATAGAAACAACGAATACTGCTAAGGTTACACAGGGTTTTAAATTATTTCAGAACAGATATGTATAAAATTTCATAAAATATAGTGGAATACTCAATATAATCATTGTACTCAATTGTAATGTCATCTTATATATATATATATATATATTAAAGGTTCATTTTCTTTATGATATAGTATACAATGGGGTAACACAATAAAATGTATTGTGTTGAATACGTTTATGCAAACGGTGATACTGTCATTAAGCCAATTAATTATTCCTGGTTTGGAATGTAAAATTGTCCAAGACATTTCTATAGCTATCGGTGATATTTATTAATGTATATAGAGATATCTATATTGATAATTAACGATTTAGTTCATGGACAGTTAAATATAACGATAGAAGACAGATCATAGTTATTT